AAGTGGAACAACACTGGACTTGTATACGGAAGGCGATGACCATTTCCGGACAGTCATGCTGCGGCCTAACTCGACGCCCCTTGAAGGCTTGGATCTCTGCTCGTTCTCTGGAGCTGTTCGAACGCCGCAAAGATATCCCCGTGGAATCAGATTGCAACGAGCGGCGCCGTTCTGCCAACCGGCTGCTCAAACAAAGCCTACGCAAGGATCGCGAGACATGGTGGTCTGAGCGTGCTTTAGAGATGGAGACCGCTGCCCTCTCTGGCAACACTCGCAGGCTTTTCCAACTCATTCGGTCCACTGGCCTCAGGAAGCCTGGCGTCAGTGAGGTCATTTGTGAGGTGGATAAGTCTCCGATCACCAACCAACAGAGGCCTATGGACCGCTGGGCCGAGCACTTTCACTCGCAGTTCAACTGGCCTACACCATCCATCAGCACATGCAGTACACGTTGTTGTCCACCCTGGCTCGTCCCTCTGAATCCACCCAGCGAAGCGGAAGTCTGCCTCGAGATTCGACGCTTGAAGCGCTTCAAGGCTGCCGGCTTAGACGGACTTCCTCCGGAACTATTCAAGTACGGTGGTGTGGCGATCATTAACCAGCTGACCGCGCTGTTCGCAAAAATTTGGCATGAAGAGAAAGTGCGTTCCTCTTGGGGCGAATCAGTTATTGTCGCGATTTTCAAGAAAGGCGCTCGTACTTCATGTGCAAATCATCGCGCGATTAGTCTTCTTTCGATCGCCTCTAAGCTATTGGCATCCATTCTGCTTCGCAGACTATCCCCAGTACGTGGATCATACTACCGTGAAGAACAAGCTAGTTTCCGTCCTGGCTGCGGATGCGTGGATCAAATCTTCACGCTCCGCCAGCTCCTCGAACATCGCAACATTTATCACAGGCCCACTATCGTTTCATTCCTAGACATACGTGCCGCTTTTGACTCCATTGATCGACCCGCTTTATGGCGTTGCTTAATAAAGAACGGGGTGCCAGAGAAATATACCATCTTACGAGCACTTTACCTTCATACATGCGGCAGAGTGAGGGTCTATGGCAAGCGTTCCTCGCAATTCGCTGTCAATAGCGGTGTGCGACAGGGCTGCCCTATGTTCCCATTCCTCTTCAGCTTCGCAATGGAAGACGTTCTCTCGAATGTTCTCGAAGGTTTCCAACATTTTGGCATAGAGTTACTACCGGGTGAGCGCGCGACCGACTTAGATTATGCTGATGATATCGCCTTACTTGGTGACGATCCTCAGAGTATGCAACTCATTCTGGATTGTTTGGCGGTTGAAGCATCTAAGTATGGCATGAGCTTCGCCCCATCGAAGTGTAAAGTACTGCTCAAGGATTGGCTTTCACCTGCTCCCGTGCTCACTCTCGAAGGTGCACAACTTGAACAGGTAGATAGTTTCGTCTACCTTGGGAGCTGTGTTTCTGCTGACGGCAATATAATCAAGAAAGTTTCTCTTCGTATTGCTGAAGCTCGATCAGCATTTGTCAATCTGAGGCACTTGTGGCGTCGTCGCGACGTCTCATTCTCACTAAAGGGCCGCGTTTACAGCGCATCAGTTCGCTCAGTATTGTTGTATGGGTGCGAGTCCTGGCCGATTCGCGTGGAAGACATGCGTCGTCTTTCTGCGTTCGATACCGGTTGCTTAAAGAGGATCGCTCGAGTTTGGTGGCAACATCGAGTTAATAGTAATGACGTTCGACGTCACATCTTGGGGAATGCGAGTATTCCCTTCAACAAACTGGTTTTGTTGCGCCAGTTAAGATGGCTCGGTCACGTCCTACGCATGGCACCTGAGCGTCTACCGCGTCGCGCCCTATTCGCTCGTCAAGGACCTGGCTGGAAGCGACCGCGTGGTGGTCAGCCTTCCACTTGGCGGCAGCACATGAAATCGCTGACGTCTTGTCTAGCCGCTGTTCCAAGATGGGGACCCAAAGATGAGAAGTGCCAATGGCTTAGCACTCTTGAAGACATGGCCCGCAACCGGAATCAGTGGAAGAATTGTGTACAGTATTGTATTGATTCACATGTTTAATACTACAAATATTGAAAATGACAAAAAAGTGAAAAATCGGCGTGTGAAAAACCAACTAAGAATGTCTTGTTCTGCTTTTTGTCAAAATGTTCCATTCTTCCTGCGGCATATTAGCTGAAGTGTGTTGCTCACCTTCAACTAGCATGCCACGATGATTATGACGCGATGACTCTTGCTTATCCGCTAATCTCCATGGTTTTATGTTGGCTCTGTGTCTAGTTGATAGACTCTTGAGAATACTACTACTGCGACTACTACTACTACTACTATGACTACTACCACTACTAATACTACTACTACTACGACTACTACTACTACGACTACTGTTGCTACTACGAGTACTATTACTACTACGACTACTACGACTACTTCTACTACGACGACGACTACCACTACGACTACTACTACAACTAATGCGTCGGGGGGGCGCCGGGACCACTAATAGCGCCATTCTGGCCCACACTGTGGACATTGTGGATTAGAGAAGCGCTTTCCGACTAATTTTCGAGCTTCAGTCGCACAGAACAGAAGGTTACCGCCTTCGTACGCTTGCGACAGCTGAAGCAGTGTGCATTCGATTGTTCCAGCCATCCTTTTGCTCGCAGAAAAAGCTGGTCCATGCTCCCCAGCTTCCCTGGCCAGCGAAGACGGAAGATGCTCGGGTCGGCTGCCTTCGGTCAGACGCGGTAGCAAATAACTAGTCCACTAAGACCTAATTCGTGTTCTCATATCTGACATAGACCTTCACGTGAGCTATTCGTTTTGATCTAACTTGGTCGATTTTATTTTTAGCATCTATATGATTGTAATGGTCTGAGGATGAATCATTGAAAGCCATTGCTCACCAGATGGTCTTCCGTCCTCATTGCTAATCTGTCCAGTGCTGCTTGGCACGTTTTGGAGCCGTCAGAGTTGAGAGCAGCGTCGTCGGCATACTTCAGATCAAGAAGTCGAGCATCTGGAATCAGCTCTGCACCTTGTAGGTCGCGCCCAGTACTGCAGTTTCCATGACTTCGTCATTGGCGAAGTCAAGGAGAATTGGTGGCAAAGGGCACTTTTGTCACACATCGCTGTAGACTTTGAATGGTGGCGACCATTTTCTGTAAGCCCTCACTCTGCCCGGACTTCGTACATACAGCGCTCTTATGACATTTACATTTTTCTCGGGCACTCCTTTCCTTAACAGGCAGTCCCGAAAGGCACTTTGATCCACTGAATCAAACGCAACTTTGATGTCGAGAAACGCAACTACGGTGGGTGACCGGTAGTTATTGCAGTGCTCCAATAGCTGATGTGATGTAAAGATGTGGTCAGTGTAATCACCATTTCGAGGAAAGCCTACTTGCTCCTGGCGCATCTGATTTTCACGGGTGCCAGTCAGTCTATGGAGAACGACAGAGGCAGGCAAAAGCGATGATGATCTGACGGATCCCTCTATGATTGCCGCATTCCGAACGTGAGCCTCCTTAAAATTAGGACTATAACGAAACGACTCCAGTCTGGTAGCTTGTGCAAATCATCCACAAATGCTGATCCCCGAATTTGAAGAGGGCTGGAAAATGCCTATCGGATTATGCGGCCTTATTCAATTTCAGCCTTCGGTTTTCACGTTCGACTTCTGCGCGTGAGGGCGGATCCAAGGCTACCACCCGGAGTGATAAGTGACCGAAAAGTACGTTGGTAACTGGGGTTGATAAAAACGTTGCCTATTCTTGGGCAACCTGACGGTATCTTGCCCACGCAATATAATGACTTTATCTTCAAATCATTTCCCGATGTTCTGGCCGTCACAGAAGTTATTTTACCGTCCTGTTCCATATAACAATAAGAATATTTGGTGATATTCGGAGCTCTGTCTTTTTACTCATCTCTTCTTCATTATGAACATTAACTATAACCCCCGTGATCCCGTTTGAAGCTACCTTCTATTACAAAGCAATGATAGCTCATTCTCCAGTCTTCTCTTCGATTCCTTCTCATTACGCTATCAACAGCAACAGTTATTAGTATTGCGATATTGATAGTAAATACTTTACTTTACTGCGGCTAGCTCCTGCGACAAAATGAGCCTGCCTCATGAATGTCGCCAATGGCAGATGCCAAAGCGCGGCGACCGGCGGCCAGCTCCACGCGGATACTGATCCAGTGACGAGCATCATTCACAACATGGGTTGCCTCACATCTCAAGTGACCGTAGTTTGGGGAATTCGCGAGACGGGCTTCTCTCGCATGCAATGAATAATGGCTTCCGGGGTTTGAGGGACCCAGCTGGCTTACTTGTCACTCTGGCCACTGGGTTAATGCAGAGCGCCTCGCCTACCGGGAATGCCGTAGCATGGGAAGAATCGTGGGTAACGGATATGTCATGAAGTCCCGTGGGGATTATGGGTACGTATGAGGACCCCAACCTCATCAGGCTTTTGTTGGAGGGTTCACATATAGCCTGCACAACCAAATGCTACCTGCAACAGAGCAGGGATCTGAGCATTTGTCTTAATTTCTGTCCGTTAGATGAGGGAGTCGATCTCTTGTGCCCGGTTGTCGAGACTGACGTTGCACGCGAGTACGAACTCACCGAGAATAGTGTTCCCGGATACCCTCACCTGATTTAGTCCGTCTGCCTGACAGTTGACCGGGCTGTGGCAGCTGCAGCATACAAGCAGCTTCTTGGAGCGACGGGTGAGAACTGGGTGGCAGGTGGAGACCAAAAATAGGCGGACTATCCCGGAGGGTAAGGCGGGTCCCCTACCAGAGATGCTACTCCTCCCTGGCACTCCGGCAGCTCATTGATAGTAAATGAACCTAAATAAACATGGGATTGTTGCGCTCCTAATTTATGTGGCTTTTTCCGACATTTCTTTTGTTATTCAACCACTCATCCCTTAACTAAACGCCGAATGTACACTTCTGTCTTTTTAAATGCCCCTGCACTGTTACCAATCCCCATTACAGAGACGAAAGCTTGGGAACTGGACACTCTTCGTGGACACTACAATAATGTCAGTTGCGCCCTGTTTCATCCGCGACAAGATTTGTTGATATCAAACTCAGAAGATAAATCAATCCGCGTATGGGACTTAGCGAAGAGGACTTGCTTGTCCACCTTTCGTCGAGACTCAGACCGTTTCTGGGTTATTGCAGCGCATCCTAAACTTAATCTGTTCGCGGCTGGGCATGATACCGGTTTTGTCGTGTTCAAACTGGAACGAGAGCGTCCGGCCTTCGCTATCCACAAAGATTTTTTGTTTTATGTCAAGTTACCGTTTCTTCGCCGGTTGGATCTGAATGCAACGAAAGATATCGCAATCATACAACTTCGCGAGTGAGTTGGTAGCATCAGGATGGTGGTTTCACTAGGATGCTTTTTATTGGCATTTTTTGTGACACTTCTAGGGCTCATTGTCTATTTGCTTTTAAGGATAGAAGTACGCCAATGGTAAACTTGAGTTTGGTCGTCTATCGCTTCTCGGGTATGCGCACCCCTTGCTATATTTAAGTGGACAGATCGTTTGCTCAGTGCTTTGGGTTTTTGTTGTTGTAGCAGACGACCTCATTCGGTCATTATCACTTCGTGCTACCGAGCAGGTTACATCTTTGCCTTATGCGCTGTCACTCCTACTGAACAAACGCACTTACGCTCAGCCGTAATGTTTATCTTGGCATTTCCAGGAGTGTTGTGACTCCTTGTATCTTGTTGACAGCAAAATGATCTGGGGAATAGTGATAGAAAAACATACATTCAGCATAATAAAACACTCTAAATATATCTTTTGGCTTACCTTAAAGGTTAATGACGAGCGGCAAAATGCACACAATTACCGACACAGTGACTGTACCGTTTATAAATGAATGATGTATTCTGGACAACGCGAGACACCCCTTTACATGCAGAATCATTGTAATGGGACACTGATTGATCGGGAAATTTACAAAAATACATGTTTGCCATAACATTTAATGTATGTATACAAGTGTATATATGTATGTATGAGCGAGGGAGCCTATAGTGCGCTGTGGCTGAAATGAAAATGAAATGAAAAATGTGTCAGCTTATACGCCGTAACGGCGCTTCGCTGCCGCGCGACCAACACCAGTCGCGCGCGGGCTGAGTATACCGCGAGGACGCCCACCCCTACGCGGAGTCGAACCGGTGACCTTGTGGTTGCAAAACAAACGTGCAGACCACTTGGCCACCGGCCGCTGTGGCTGGTGGTGGCTGGATCCTGACAAATGGTCTACCTACTGCTGCTACTGTTGTGCCATGGGCTCATGTTCTGGACGCCTCGTGGCGACCTCTCGTTGGGAGTTGGATTACGCCCTTCTCCCAGTTAAGACCCAGGACACCAGTTCGCATGAGTCAATGAACTGTCTATGTGCTAGACCCGCTGCCTTTCGGGTGTATATTTAATCGAAGGTTTTGGCTGAGGACCCGAGTCGTTTTCCTGTCAGGTATGGGCGCCCTGCCAGTATCCTAGTCCATCCTCTTCGGAGGTTAGGAAGTGGTCGATGGCCCTCTTCCCCTAAATACTAGCCATGGGAGACAACAGGTCAACTGGTTATAAGCCCACAGCTCGATTGGCATAGAGCACGAGCGCCACGCATTGTCTCTGACGGTGAGAGGGCACATCTGGGTGTTCAATGGTTTGCTACTGCCCGCCTCAAGCCAGGCAGCCTTTGGTCAAATTGGTGCGAATCCGCCAAAACCCACCTGCGTATGGCCGTTGTCGCAGGTGTATCCTACCACGGTCGCAAAACATATATAAATCGTTCCAGTACCTCAAAGGCTTCGTGTGACGGCCGTCAAGCAGATCCCAATCTGTCTCTGCAATCACATTCCTGAGCTGCATCTGCTCCCCACTGCCTCGTGGGTCAGGCTATTGAGCCAAAAGCTCCGGACGGAGTCCTTCAAACAAACCTCCAAATCCCCCACTGCCTTGTGGCCCAGGCTATTAAGCCAAAGGCTCCGTGTGGAATCCTTCAAGCAAACCTCTGAAGCACAACCACCACCTCGCATGCGATTACCCACCAATGCAATCGTATGTTTGCGCGCAAAGCACTCCGCATCGAGTGCTGGGACGTGCGCACAATACTGGACGGGAACTGGAGTGAGCGCCCCGAGCGACGCACTGCACTGGTCACGATGGAACTGGCGCGCTTCAACATCGCTATTGCGGCGCTCACTGAGACTCGGCTCGCTGAGCAAGGTAAGTTGCATGAAGCAAGTGCTGGCTACACATCCTACTGGGTGGGGAACGCCGCCTCAGCGCCACGTGAACATGGGGTCGGATTTGCAATATCTGATCGTCTCCATGGCCAGCTCGTGGGTGAACCAACTGGCATCAGCGCGCGACTGATGACTGTTCGCCTACGACTCGGAAGAGGTAAGTTTGCCACCTTTATAGGCACGTACGGTCCGACCATGTGTTATCCTGATGACACGCGTGATCAATTCTACACTCAGCTATCCTCTGTGATACGGTCTGTGCCGAGGAGCGACCGACTATTTCTGCTGGGTGATTTCAATGCGCGCGTTGGGCGTGATGCGTCGGTGTGGACAGATGTTATCGGTCCGCATGGCATTGGTTCAGCGAATGCGAACAGTGACAGACTGCTCTCACTGTGTGCCACTCACGGCCTGACGATCACGAACACTGGCTTTGTACTGAGTGCGAGTGATATAGCAACTTGTACGCACCCACGGAGTGGTCACACTCACCTGCTCGACTATGTCATCGTACGTCAGCGTGATATGCGTGAAGTGCACATGACACATGTTCTGCGTGGAGCTGAGTGTGGCACTGATCATAAATTGGTTCGGACCAAACTGTATGTATATTTTCGTAAATCCATGTATTGCACTCCCGTCGAGAATCGGCGTAAAGTTAACATTCTCTCCCTCGATACTGTGGCGAAACGTACTGAGCTGGAGAAGGCGATGGCTGCACGCCTGTGTGATGTGGACTGCATAGCCACAGTGGGCTGCCTGTGGCACCACATTCGCGACCAGGTGACATATGCTGCATAGGAGACCATGGGGCGCGCAAACTGTAAGCAGCCCGATTGATTTGCTGAGAACCGTGCGACGATTGGCGCATTGGTGTCGGAGAAGAATGCAACATTTGCTGCACATGTCGCGAACCTCAGTGACTTTGGAGAGTTATTTTCTCTAACTTCGACGGCGACTGGTTCGAGAGCTCCATCGCATTAAAATGCATGGTGGACTGAGAAGGTGAAGCAGATGGAATGCTTCTCCGAACGTCGCCAACACAAGGAATTCTTTGACTCCTTGAGGGCGGTGTATGAACGGAGGTCGGAGCCGCTGGGGACCCTTATCGACGGTAGTTCAGGCGCTGCCTACACACAGACTGCAGACTTAATACAGATATGGTGAAATCACTTTGACCGTCTCTTGAACAACCGTTCAGAGATTGACTGTCCTACTTTGAACGGCCTGAAGCAGCACGATCTGAAGGTGAGTTTGGCGGACACGCCGACAGTGCACGAGACACAAAAAGCACTTGCTCAGCTGCGAAACGGCAAGTGTGCTGGGGCCGACGGGATCCCGCCTGAGGTATTGAAACACGGCGGACCCGCGTTGCTGACTACGCTACACCAGTTGGTGCAACGTGTATGAATCGAGTTGGAGGTGCCTCCTGAGCTGAAGGATGCTCTTGTGCTACCACTGTCCAAGTGCAAAGGGAGCAAACAATGTTGCACGAGTTATCGTGGCATCAACTTACTGAGTTGTGTGGGCAAAGTGATTTCCCGAATCCTGCTCAACCGCCTCGTCAGTCAGGTTGTGGAACCGAACGTGGCGGAAGAGCAATGTGGATTCCTTTCGGGTCGCAGCACTATAGATATGGTGTTTGCGGCTCGTCAGTTGCAGGAGAAGTGCAGAGAACGACACCAGCCGTTGTACTCGCTTTTTGTTGATTTCACCAAGGCATTTGATACGGTGAACCGCGAGGCATTGTGGCTGGTGTTGGTAAGTTTGGTTGTCCGCGTAAGTTTGTAAGTTTGATTGTATATCTGCACAGTGGTATGTGAGCGAGGGTGCAGCTGAGGGGATAGCCCTCGGATGACTTTGCAGTTGTCTCTGGTGTGAATCAAGGCTGTGTCTTAGCTCCTGCTCTGTTTAATATTTATCTTCATGCAATGATGTCTTGCGCTTTTGATGCGACTTGTGCTTACGGTGTTCGTGTGGAGCACCGTATTGATAGTGGGTTGCTGAACATCCGTCGTTTCGGTGCGAGAACCCTAGTCTGTGAGACAACTATCCGTATGTTGCTGTTTGCTGAGGACTGTGCGTTGTTTGCATACAGCACGGATGCGTTGCAGCACATGACTAGTGCTCTGGCTTCGATAGCGGCCTATTTCGGGCTCACCATCTACACATGCACAACTGTCTCTGTTTTTTAGTCTTCACCGGAGGTGCAATCTTCAATATTGCCGCGAATCAGCATTGGTGCTGAAGTATTGGAAACCACCTCCCGCTTCTGTTACCTTGAGTGTGTGATGTCGACTGACCAGCAGATACACAGTGAGCTTCGTACACGCGTGTCGAAGGCAGCGGCGTCATTCGGGAAGCTAGAGTACCGAGTGTGGAACAACCATCAGCTTACCGTTGGCACGAAGCTGATGGTGTACAAATCCATGGTGCTGTCCGTTCTTCTATACGACAGTGAAACGTGGGCGATGTACCGACGGGATGTGCGTTATCTCGAGCGGTTCCATCAAGAATGTTTGCGACGGATTCTGCGCATCGGTTTCTGCGACAGAGTTGCAGGCACGGAAGTGTTGCGCCGAAGTGGAATGTATGCAGTGGACTGCATACTTTTGCTGAGACAATTGAGGCGACTGGGTCATGCGAGCCGAATGGATTCGACGCGGATACCGAAACAACTATTATATGGTCAGCTAAGTATTGGTAAGCGGCATGTGGGGAAATCGGAGCTTCGTTACCAGGACATGATCAAAGTGAGCCTATCACGTTCTAATCTTGATTGCAGGTCATGAGAATCGAAGGCGGTTGATGGGCGTGCATGGCACGATCTGATCACGAAGCCAGTTGCCAAAGTACAGAAAGCCCTCATGCATGCGGAGAAGAAGCGGCAGGCGCCGGTGTGTTGTACTCCATCGACATCGAGCGCATGGTGCTGTAGCACATGCGGTCGCGATTGCCTGAGTCAGGCAGGCCTAGTGAGCCATGAACGAGGCCATTCGGGACCACCACGGAAGCGACGGCAGTTCCTGCAGAGAACGTAGACAGAACCGGCGCAGCGTTTGTAGCTACGCTGCATTCAATTTATTAACAGCTTGCTT